CAAATAAAATAAACCACCTGAACAGCAGACTAGATTTGTCTATAGGAAGGAGGAAATAACCTGGTAGAAACATAGGAATACTGACTATGTTTAATTGAAATTTTGTAAGTCCCTGGACTGGGACTGATGTTTCGCTGTTAGACATTTTTTGCAGTCATGTAAGAAAATAACATTAGAACATAACATGAGAACAGCTGCACTGGTTCATATCAAAGGTATGTTTAGCCCTGGGCTAAGTGTGTAGGCATTTAGATCTGTTGATTTCAAGTCATTAGCTCTAGTGCTAGATTGGAAGAGATAATAATTTGTGGATTACCATCTTCTCAACATACATTCATGACTCTATGCAATTTCTATCATCTCTATTTTGTTTTCCTTCTTCTATTAAACATCACAGGCAGAGAAGTCAGCCTATTTAGTTATTCTTTGTACCAAAGCTCATCTCTCTCTTTGATTAGCTATGCAACCCCTCTGGGTACCATTCCTGTTTTTTCAATATTCCTATTAAGATGAGGAAAATCAGAAAGGCACAGCATTCCAAGCACAGATGCAGCACAGATTTAAACAGTGGAATAACAATGATCTGTACTACTTCTTTTTCCTGTTGTAGTGATTCTTGGGGGAAAAGCTGCAGCCTATTTACTTTTAGACTGCTGGCAAGCAAAGAACTGCTGGTTCCATAGAACTGACTACTATTAACAGTAAGATGGAAAGATCCACTCAGAATGCTCTTTATGAAGATTAGGATGATTATTCTCCTATATGCATCGGTTCACACTTGTCTACAGAAATTTTGGATCTTGTTTAATACTTTTTTCAAAATCAAATGAGATGTCCCTCATCCACTTGCTTGTTAATTTCTTCAAAGAACTCCAATGTATTCGTGAGGCATGGCTTCCTCTTACAAAATGCATGATGACTCTTTGTGAATAAACATGACGATGTCATGTTTATTCACATCTCAGCCAACTCTCTCCTTCAGACAGCATCCCATCATTTTCCTTACACTCGTCATCAGGCCTACTGAATAGATGTTCTACACACCTTTTTAAAACACAAAACTGCATTTCCCATTTTGATGATACTGAGAATGTTTCAGGTGAGCGGTCCTCCACCTCAGTCAGGAATTCAGCTATTTCTACCATGAGCTTCTTTACAATTATGGTTCAGACCTTTAAGTAACTGCTGATCAGATGATATTTGAATGCAACAAATCCTTTGCAAATATAATAAAATATGAGCTGCTTATTCCTCAGGAAACATTACGTTTTCTTCAAAATTATAAACAGCCTATTGTTAGGCCTGACAAATTTCAGTACTGGTCTAACGACATTTTTAAGGTCTAGTTTCTTGGGAACCCTCCAGACAGGAAACATCTGGTTTGCGCCATTAGAAACATTAGCCCTTTCTTCTAGATTTGCCTTATACAAGATTATATAGAAGATTTGCATTTATCCTGGGTTTTCTTTGATTATATCAGGTACTGTACATTAATTGCAAGCACTGTGAGTGTGCAATTGTATTTCCTGTTTAGGCCTATTTTTCTAATCTATAATTATTGTCTTTTGAGTGTTTTTAACAGCATCAGTTATACACTGTAAAAATGAGGCAGTTATATGTAACTGGTAGACTGGTAAAAGTCCTGATTTTGAACCAAGACTCCAGTGTTTAGATAGTGCATTAACTGAATAGGAAAGGGTGCAGGATCCCACAGAATATCCTATCTAGTTACAAGGCAGAGTGAGAATAGAAAGGAATTATGTGACGATATTCCTCCATACAGAAGGCAGTAGCCTACACATACTGACAGCTTAATTGTTGCATAATTATTTCTATAGGCAAAGCAAAATTTTAAGGAGGAGCTTAAAATGAATAACAAAAGGCTGTTTTACAGATATTTTACAGATATTTTCAAGAAGTCTTCCAAGTGTGAATTGTTACATAGGAAAATTATAAAGGTATTTATTTGAAAATCTAACAAGTAGACTCTCACAGACTGAGAAAAGACAGTCTCTAAAACATCTTCAGAGGCAAGACAAGGTCATGTTTAATATGACCCAAGTAGGAGGGCTGAGCTGTGAGAAGAAAAATGGGATTTGTTCAAAAAAGCTGGAATGTTATTTTTCTGGCATTTTAGACAGATATGAGCAAGACAAGATTATTTATATAACCAAAAGGTAAAATGTTGCATAGTAAAACTTTACATGACCTGAGATTTATGTATAAATGTATACAAATGACTATCTGTCTCCAAGATTCTAGACAGAAAATCTGTTAACTACAGGAGAAGCCTGAATGTGAAAAATGAAAGGGATGTGCAAATCAGAGAGGATGTCTGCCACAGGAATAATCAGAGAGAGGGAGAGGCATATACAAAATGTAGTAAAGCTCCATACTAACAACACTGAATTTGCACTAAGTCCAGAAGAACACAGGTTAGAGACAGATCTAGTTTTTACCATCTGTATTTGGTGACTCTGGATCATACAAAGTAGCTAAATTAATATTTGCAAATGCTGTTAACCCCATAGATCAGGTAACAGGGAAAACATGATGGGGATTCAGGACAGAATGCTGTGGACAAAAACATTGAAAAGGAGTATCCTGTAAGTAACACGCTGAAGGATCAGGAGAGAACAGATGAAAGGAAATTGTACTACAGCATCCATCTTTTCCATTATTTGAAGCATTCAATCAAATAATTTAATTATTTAATAATAAAACAACAATAATGCATCAAACAATTTTTGCACTCTTGTGGTATTTGCCCAAATACTTGATCGAGTGGAAGGACTCCACTGAGCTAAACAGGCTCTGAAGCAGTCTCCGTCCTGTCCTCTCAAATCTGACAAATGATATACTTTTCCCCTATAGCATTCTCAAAAGGCAACTTGCCTAAATCAAATCAGCACATCAAACTGTTGTTAGCAGTAATTAACTAGTAAATCAACAGTTAGGTAACTAATTGACATATCAGTGCTCCCCAGAGTCAACTAATTTATTATTTTAGTTTCAGCAATTATCCCTACCAAGTAGAGTGATACAAGTAGAGTGATGCCTTAGAAATATGTTTCTTATTACTTGAAAAGGGGATGTAATAGATCTACATTTTTAGAAACAGTCTTGTTTGAAAGTCAGAAAACAAACAGCCTGTTTTGATTATGAAGTTAATTAATTTTTGAGTCCCAAAGTAATATGTGGTTCCTGTTGCATGCAATTGTTTTCTTTAATCCTGCAGAGTTGGTTTGAGCTGTGTGAATTGACTGTTCAGACTCCATTTTATTCAGAGCGTGGGCTTTTTTATTTGAAGTAGACCAAAGTTTCAAGTGTTTCCCTAGCTGTTTTTCTTAGCTAAGAGGAGGAAAAATGGTACTCTGGCTCTGATCTTCAGATTTCAATTTTTTTCTTGCAACCTGTATTATGTAATGTGGAAGAGATGGGTTGGTCTTTGGCAGCTATGTTGCAATTTATAGTAGTTTTCAATATTATGCTATACTTACTTTCCAACAGTAATAACTTACTTCTTATGTGCACTAAGAAATTATTTTAAAACTCTTATGTTTTCTTGAGAAGACTACACTTAAAGTTAGGCAAACAGATATTTTCTGTACACAAAATGAGAACGTGTTTTATATGTATCTAGTTCCATAGCTCACAGATCATGTGTTTACACAAATGGAATAGGGTTTTTTCTAAGACAATAAATACTTCGCTATTCCTATGAAACATGATCTTTTATACTGTTAGGCATTATCATTTATGTTTTACTAAAATATAAACAGTAAACCATGAGAGGGGGAAAAAAATCACAGGATTAAAACCATACAAATGCAAACATGAAAACTCAGTACCCCACAGTTAAAAGGCCGAGCTGCTCAAAAGACATTTATCTGTGAATAAGAGTTTTGATTCATTCACCAGCTAATGGTCACAGTAGCAGGAGGCATTGCCCTTGCCTTTTGGTGCCATCCCTCTGTTGTATCTCACTGCCCCTGCAGCTACGTGCTGAGACCAGAAGCACACCCAGCTCTCATCTGCCTCCCCGCATCCTCTACCTGCTCAGCTCTTCCTCCACCTTCAATTTACACCAAGAAGCCAAACTCTGCACTGAAGTGACCAGTGTGCACACAGAAGCTTTCTCCTGCCAACTCTGCTACATGGTCTTCAACAGAGGAGGACTACCAATAGCTAGGGTAACTCTTTGACCAGCTGTTTCTGGCTTTGCCACAAACCTCTGCTCATTGGTTATTCTCTTTTAAGGCTCTTTCCCAAGGCTGAAATTTTTCATGACTGTGAAAAAAAGAGAACCTGAGTTTGCCTTAAGATAAATAAAATAAGTTTTAAAAATCTATCAGTCTTCCTGCTTTTATTTGTGAAGACTGCCAGCTAAAATCCAGAATATCACACGGCAGAGTTGCACATTTTTCTCTCTCGCTTAGAAACACCTACAGCATGTTAGCAAGACTGACTGAAAAAGGCTTAAGGCAGCACGCAGATATGTATTTTACATATTTGCCTCCAGTTTTCAGGAGAAAAAAAAACCAAACAAAGAAAACCTAACGTGTTCTCTGCAAATAAGAGACTCTAAAATTTTGTCTGTCTGCTTGGATAAACAAATTCTAAGACTAACTAGGAGGATTTTAGGTAAGTAGAAATAATTATTTTAATGAAAGTGGTTACGGTTCAGTATTCAATTTTAATTTAATTTAGTTTTGCAACAAACTGATGTGATTATAAGAGAAATTTTCTGCCACCTTTGAAAGCACTTCCAGCAGCAAACATCTTTCACATGTGTTATTTGTCTAGTAAATTACCAGCATCCCATTCCAGAGCATTTCTAGGGTTTTGAGAGTTCCTTTTCCAGTCCCACCTACTAAAACTGTTTAACTTGCGATCTACTGTCAAACTGTAGTATCAGTGGGATGACAACAAGCTAAAAATTAATCTGGCGCAAGTAGAAGTGCATTAATTAAATAATTCACAGAAACATGCAGACTGACCTGTCCAGTAATAGGTTAGGTGCAAATAAAAGCTTTCCTGGGTGTTCCATGGAGCGCCAGACTAAGCCAATCATCAGTATCTCTAACCAGGCACATTCCAGTAGATGGACCTGATCATGGAGTGTTAAGTCCACAAATCCTGAAAGAACAAATAGGAGAAAGAAAAACACTCCAGGTTTGTAAGCAGAACAACACTGTTTAGGGAATCAGGTTAAAAAGTGCATTGGAGATAGATAGCCAAAAAGAAAAAGCAATAAAATAGACATTTCTCCTCTTTGCATTTCAGGCTGAGTTTTGCCCATTATTAGGTCCAGAATGGCTCCATCCCACAGACCAGTCAGCACCCTCTAGCCCCCTGGTTGTCTCCTGGCTGCACCCACCCTGCCCCAAGATCAGGGCAAGAGCCAGATGTGCATCCCCATCCCCACGCCTGTTGCTGGTGGCCTGGGAAGCCAGGTACACGCTGCAGAGAGGGGCAGATAGAGCCGTGGTCGTGATGGAGAGAAAATGGAAAAACACCTTTTATAAAATGAAATTACAGCTCCAGTCAGCTAATCCCAGACCACTTTTCCTGGTGGAATGCTGTTTTACAGACTTGTGAACAATTCACCATACTGCAGGTACCATACCCATGCAGAAGAGGGCCCAAAACAGCATTTCAAATAAACTAGCAAGGGAATGCTGACCACTGAACAATCAGAATTCACTGATGAACCACTTGCTTTCATTTTTGTAGAAATACAGCACCTGGAGGAAGGAGGTGACCTCTCTTACTCTGTGTATAAACAATGCTAGAAACAGTAAATGCAAAATTGCTTATAACAACACTAAAATATTAATAAGAAAGAGTTACAATGAAGGTAGACATGAAAGCATAATTACAGTGCTCATTTTCATGGAACAGATTATGTCATCCTCTATCTGTGGTTCTCACTTTTCATGAGTGTTACTTTCAATCCAAAGACATAAATGAAGACGAGATTGTATAATACAATTTTTTTAGATCCTAGCTCAAGCTATGTTTTGAAATTAGTATGAACTTGCTGAAATGAAATTTGTAGATGTTTCCTTCAGTGTTATGTGTGAAACACATTATTAAATATTGGCATTTTACTTTTCAATTGTAATTTATTCAAATTAGCCTTCAGAATACAAGTCACAGGGTAAACTACCTTACCAGCCCAGTAAACAGCAGTGATTTTGCTTCTGTATTTTGTCCTTACTAAAGGTGTATACTGAGGCAGTTTCAAGTAATACACCTGACATTCTCTCGAGTACTACCTTCAGAAAAAAAAGACATACATTTTTAAAATTAAATGTTGTGCTATGAAATACATTCTTAAATAATAAAGAGGAAGAGAAGGAACCAAATATAGTTCACAATAACTTAGACAATATTGCTACATTCTGCAAAAGAGTTGGTGATGTAATTATTTTTACCGAAAACATCTGAGTGAGCTAATCAGCTTATTTATAAAGAAGGAAACTGTCTTGTTTCATTTGAAATGAAACTCATCTGTCAATCATTAAGAGTGAATTTAGACAGCTGTATAAACTGCTATTTTTATGAAAGAGGTACCTATTAAAAAAAAAAAAAAAATCTTTTCCTGTATTTTTTCTTTATTTCCAAATGCAAAAATGACTTTCAGTATTCACAGACAGATGGAATGGCATTTTTCCTGATTCATCAAATACCCTGAAACAATAGAGCTGCCACTTAAAAGAGCAACATTCTCAACTACAAAGCATTGATTACAGCACTCAAGAATGAAATTGGCAGAAAGAAACTGCTGTCTATATATGGAGAACAAAGAGTAAACATTATGTTTTCTATTAAGTATTGCCTTAGTATAACAACACATAATAATATAGTGGTTTTATCTAGGCTTGAAGAGTACCACAGCAATGCAGGGACACAAGTCCCCGTGTGGTGTCTGAGGTTAGCAATCAGTGCATTACACGTCAGTTATGTTGCCATCATTTCCCGTGGCTGCATGCTATGTTACAGCAGATTGAATTGCTTTGACTGTTGCAGAAAAACTGAGCTTGTTACAACTGTGGCAATTCACTGTCCTGTTAAACTCTGCTCATTCTACAATATTCTGGATGCTAAAATGGAAAAAAATTAGCTTTATTTTTCTCCATCCCCACATTTTAAATTTCAGATTGCACCGAGTCTAAGTAATCTGGACAAAAACTAAAAAGAGAAAGTAAAAAAGAAAGCTAATAAATAACCTCCCTAGTTTTATAGAGGAGGGATATTTTGTCAGTCTGCTTGCTCTGAGAATAAAATTATACTACTCAACAACACTATCTTTTAAAGTACGAATGTGAATAATACTTTGCATTTTAAAATAGTAAAAGGTTTGGCCAACAATATTTTTGCATCTGAAATATTAACTCTTATTTCACTTAAGCTAAGGAATTTTCAAAAAAGCAGGATGAAAGAGAAAACTGATTGTGAGCCCCTCATTTAAAGCATTAAATGATCTGTCAGCCTGAGATCTACTTTAGGTTCTATGACAAAACAGCTAACACCAAACTTGATTACTGCAGGCTTAAAAGTCTGTAATATAATAATAGACACCAACTGTAATTCATAGAATAGCTTATCAAATTAATTTGACGGCTTTTTAGGTGACATTATAGGTTTAGTTGATAAAAAATATAATTTTGATGAAACAGAAAAAAACATTTGATTTTTTAAAAACATGCAACATTAGCTGAACTAAAATATTTTAAATGACACATTATAGTATGTAATGGTAACTGAACTAAATGGAAATTTTTTAGAGGAATACCATACAGTTTACTTCTTTACCCTAAACTTAATGATGACATGTTAGCTGAACTAAAATATTTTAAATGACACAGTATAGTATGTAATGGTAATGAACTGAACTGAACTAAAGTTAATGGAAATTTTTTTAGAGGAATACCATACAGTTTATTTCTTTACCCTAAACTAATTTTTTTAATGATGACATTAAAAACAAACAAACAAACAAACCCAAACAGAAATCATGATTCAGATGGCATGACGGCACATGGAAAATAATGCAAAAACACAGGTTGATAATGTAAAACAAACAAACAAAAAAAACCCAAACCAAAACAGAAATCATTATTCAGATGGTATGACGGCACATGGAAAATAATGCAAAAACACAGGTTGATAATGTAAGCCATCCAAATCACTCACTAACTTCATCAGAAAAGACATGAAGACAAAAGTATGAAACCAAGAACATTAGACCTATGTACAAGATGGAAACAGTAGCAGCAATGAAGAGGACTTGGAAATGATGGAGAAAGATCAGCACAGTTTGAGTTTCCAGAGGGAAGCCGCATCTAATAAAGATGATGGACTTTATAAAAAGCCAGGGAGATTCTGAGAGAGTAAGGAATGTAAATTACCTCTGTGTTACCTGAATCTGGTAAACATTTTTCAGGCAGGATGAGAAGTTGGACAAAATGATAGAGAAACGTCAAAATGAATAAAGCATTGAAAAACATGCCTTCTAAGAGGAATTTAGTTACTCTTTGTGAAGCTAAATAGGCTAGAGGCATTAAGGGACTGCAAAGGGTACATTTCAAAGGAAAAAGAGAATGGCAATACAAAAGGTAATGGCATAACACACAGAAGCCCATGCTGGAAGCTAAACCTTCTCCAAGCCAGACTAGAAATGAGGGGCCATTGTTAACAACAAAAGTGGTTATTATCTAAGCAACATACTAAGATTCCGTGAATTTGCTATCCTCAGAAATGTTAATCAAGATTTAATTATTATTTTTAAGACATACTCTTGTTCAAGCAAGCTAATTCAGAATAATGTTACAGAAGGTTAAATTAAATGATGAATAAATCATTAGTCACTTCATCACTCGGAGCATGCTGCACTTTAATGTCACTAAAATTATGTGTAGATGTGCACTGCATTCTCAAATATCAGTGTTCTTTTAATACTGCCAAGTTTTTAAAGAAAATATATTTTTGAATTCTAGATTTTTGGTTGTTGTGCTTTAAGGAAAAAGAAAGACCTTCATTGATAAATTAATTAGGTACAACTTATGGGTATAACCTACACCTGATTCCATATACCAGACTGGCCAATTGTATGACCTTATGAGACATATCAACATCCTTGTGTCGCCAAAACCCACAAGACCTAGTCTTCCATCAAACCATTCATATATCATATGCTTTGCAGAAGAAAGACACTTGCAGAATAACAGCCACGGCTGGATCATCCCTTTTTCACATACAAACAAATTAACAGTCTTTTTGAGTGATTGCCAACACAGAACACAATAATTGTTCCATGAACTCTTGTATAAACATGGAAATCTGAACTTCTGAAAAGCCAAAAAGGTCTTGTGAGCACTCAGATAAGAGTAGGTGGCAATTAAACTTTTGTTATATGTAGAATACACAACAGTGATATTCAAACTAAACTGATTACCACTATGTGCCACATCAGTGACATTACAATACAAATATTTGTCCTTCAGACTTTAAGACACCATGAAGCAGCAGTGGATCCGTGGAGGAAAAGTTATGAAAAGCCCTACCTTGGCAAGCATGGAATTGTCTAGGTTGGATGGGACCTTTAAGATCACCTAGTCCAATGACTCACTAAAGTCACTAAGATCACCTAGTCCAATGACTCACTAAAGGCGATATTAGATATTTGGGAATCCAAAATCATATGACCCTACTATCCTAAAAAAGGAAGGCAGCAATCATCTACAACAGGTATAATCAAATCTCTTTGCAGACTGGGAATTTCAGCCATTGCTCAAAGGGAAGGCTTGCCATGAAAGAACACAAAGACTGCTGGAAGTAGTATTAAGTAAAATATACACCCCTGCTAACAACAGAGAAGTCATTTATGTACAAGATTCTTTGGTTGCAGTAAGGAACAACATAAAGCTCAGATGGTTTTCATTTATTGCTACTGTAACATATGATGCGAAACCTACAGTCTTCTGAAATCACCACCAACATACATATATATACATTTATTGCTACTGTAACATATGATGCGAACCCTGCAGTCTTCTGAAATCACCACCACCACCATACATATGTGTCAAATTTCACCAATCAAATATTTTGAAACTAATAAATTCATCATT